AGCCGTGGTTACGTTAGGGCTCTCGTTCCATTACCGTTTATTTATATCCTGGTTTTCTCCCCAATGGGGGGACCCGTGGCGGCTTACATCATTCTCCTCTCCTCCTTTTTATCCTCACAACAATCCTGCAAGGTAGGTTAGGCTGAGAGCATGTGACAGGCCGAAGTTCACCAAGGGAGGTTCTGCGGCAGAGCGGGGATTTCAGCCTGGCTCTCCCAGATTCGAGTCCGAACACTTAAGAACATAAGAGATGCCAATGCTGGATCAGGCCAATGGCCCATCCAGTCCAATTCCCTGTCTCACACAGTGGCCAAAAATATTAGGTGCCATCAGGGGGTTTACCAGCGGGGCCAGGGCTCCAGAAGCCCTCCCCCCGTGACCCCCCCCCCCCGCACCAAGAATACAGAGCATCCCTGTCCCAGACATAGAGTGCCATCTGTACCTTGTGGCTAATAGTCACTGATGGACCTCTGCTCCATATAAGAACATAAGAGAAGCCCTGCTGGATCAGGCCAATGGCATAATCCGGCCCAACACTTTGTGTCATACAGGGGCCAAAACCCAGGTGCCCTCAGGTGGTCCACCAGTGGAGCCAGAACTCCAGAAGCCCTCCCCCTGCGCCCCCCCCAGCACCAAGAATACAGAGCATCCCTGTCCCAGACATAGAGTGCCATCTGTACCTTGTGGCTAAAAGCCACTGATGGACCACTGCTCTGTATGTTTCTCCAATCCCCTCTTGAGAGAGCGTGTCTATGCTTGTAGCGGCTGCCACTTCCTGTGGCAATTCCAGTCCCTGCCTCTTCAGGGGAACCTTGACTGTGAAGTGTTACTCCACGGCCAGCCAGTTTAGAAACGGTAAATTCTAGCTTCCGGTTTGGCTTCCGCGAATGGCGGACGCATCCCCGGAGCTTTCTAACCCCTCGATTTAAAAGCTCCTTGCGCGTGCATTAAATGTTAGTCAAGTCGCTCCCTCACGTTCTTCTAGGCCTGTGCCGGGCAGTGTGTCTTCAGGTGCCATAAAGCTCTTGGCGTTTTGGAGTGCAAACCGTGGAAACTCCTTGTCTGGAATTTCCTCTGGAGAACTCTTGACGGCACCTTTGGTCCTTTCTGGAACTTTCCACCATACGGGGCACAGCATTAGACTCAAAAAAAGAAAAGAAAAGGGTGTTATTGTTCATCCCATAGGGAGGACCAGGGTTGGGATTACATGTGCACAGGAAGGGAAGTAAGGCTGTGAGAGATGTAGAGGACGTCATGAGGGTAAGGAAGGCCCCGGAGATGTTTACCTGCCCTTGTGCTGGCTTCCCTCTTCTGGAGGCAAAGAGAGAGAACGTAAGAGGAGCCATGTTGGATCAGGCCAATGGCCCATCCAGCCCGACACTCTGCATCAGGAAGGGGGAAGTAAGGCTGTGAGAGATGTAGAGGACGTCTTGAGGGTAAGGAAGGTCCCGGAGATGTTTACCTGTCCTTGTGCTGGCTTCTCTCTTCTGGAGGCAAAGAGAGAGAACGTAAGAGGAGCCATGTTGGATCAGGCCAATGGCCCATCCAGCCTGACACTCTGCATCAGGAAGGGAAGTAAGGCTGTGAGAGATGTAGAGGACGTCTTGAGGGTAAGGAAGGCCCCGGAGATGTTTACCTGTCCTTGTGCTGGCTTTCCTCTTCTGGAGGCAAAGAGAGAGAACGTAAGAGGAGCCATGTTGGATCAGGCCAATGGCCCATCCAGCCTGACACTCTGCATCAGGAAGGGAAGTAAGGCTGTGAGAGATGTAGAGGACGTCTTGAGGGTAAGGAAGGCCCCGGAGATGTTTACCTGTCCTTGTGCTGGCTTTCCTCTTCTGGAGGCAAAGAGAGAGAACGTAAGAGGAGCCATGTTGGATCAGGCCAATGGCCCATCCAGCCTGACACTCTGCATCAGGAAGGGAAGTAAGGCTGTGAGAGATGTAGAGGACGTCTTGAGGGTAAGGAAGGTCCCGGAGATGTTTACCTGTCCTTGTGCTGGCTTTCCTCTTCTGGAGGCAAAGAGAGAGAACGTAAGAGGAGCCATGTTGGATCAGGCCAATGGCCCATCCAGCCTGACACTCTGCATCAGGAAGGGAAGTAAGGCTGTGAGAGATGTAGAGGACGTCTTGAGGGTAAGGAAGGTCCCGGAGATGTTTACCTGTCCTTGTGCTGGCTTTCCTCTTCTGGAGGCAAAGAGAGAGAACGTAAGAGGAGCCATGTTGGATCAGGCCAATGGCCCATCCAGCCTGACACTCTGCATCAGGAAGGGAAGTAAGGCTGTGAGAGATGTAGAGGACGTCTTGAGGGTAAGGAAGGTCCCGGAGATGTTTACCTGTCCTTGTGCTGGCTTTCCTCTTCTGGAGGCAAAGAGAGAGAACGTAAGAGGAGCCATGTTGGATCAGGCCAATGGCCCATCCAGCCTGACACTCTGCATCAGGAAGGGAAGTAAGGCTGTGAGAGATGTAGAGGACGTCTTGAGGGTAAGGAAGGTCCCGGAGATGTTTACCTGTCCTTGTGCTGGCTTTCCTCTTCTGGAGGCAAAGAGAGAGAACGTAAGAGGAGCCATGTTGGATCAGGCCAATGGCCCATCCAGCCTGACACTCTGCATCAGGAAGGGAAGTAAGGCTGTGAGAGATGTAGAGGACGTCTTGAGGGTAAGGAAGGTCCCGGAGATGTTTACCTGTCCTTGTGCTGGCTTCCCTCTTCTGGAGGCAAAGAGAGAGAACGTAAGAGGAGCCATGTTGGATCAGGCCAATGGCCCATCCAGCCCGACACTCTGCATCACACAGTGGTTAAAACCCAGTTGCACTTATGAGGTGGTCAAGCTTCTCTTGCCAGTAAGAGATCTCTCTTAATATCAGGGATGCCAGCCTCCAGGTGAGACCTAGATATCCCCTAGAATTACAGCTCCTCTCCAGACTACAGAGATCAGTTCCCCTGGAGACAATAGATGTTTTGAAGGGTGGACTCTATGACATCTTACCCAATCAATCAATCAATCAATCAATAAATAAACCTTTAATAGCATATACAACATTAAATTCAGAAACAGAAGATGACACAGTCAACTAAAAAACTGAAATAATTATAAAATCATGAAACGGAGTTTCCCAAATTTTTCACTCTTATCACATCGACTAAAAAATTAGCCACTGCCACTGTAATCTCTGCTGTTGTATCATTCAATAGAATTTGACATTTTCTTTCATTAGAAAGGTGATATTTACCACGCAACCAAGAGTTTAACCATTTTTCCCTAGCAGATACATGCAACGAACAGTCTAGCAGTATGTGATCAATTGAATCAAGAGAGCTTGAACCACAGTCACATCTCCGTTCGTACTTAGGAATATTATGAAACCTACCATACAGTAGTTTTGATGGGAAGGCATTTACTCGAGCAAGGGAAAAAGCTCTTCGATGGCTAGGGCTATCCAAATTATACAAATACTGGGGAATACATCCCACATCATTCTTAAGATTTAATGAAGCTGAAGAGCAGACAGGGGGATATGACATCTTACCCCAGTGCGGTCCTTGCCCACTCCAGACTCCATCCCCATACCTCCAGCACTTTCCCAGTTTGGATCCGGCCACCCTACCAATGCTCCCTCTAAGCTGTGGAGTCTTGTGAGCAAAAATTCTACTTTGTGAGCTACTGGCCTTAAAGTTGTGAGCGAGCGATTTGGCTCCTGCATCAATTAGTTTGCTCTGCAGCCCTCCTTCCTGAGCAAAGACAAAAATGTGTGAGCCGGAGGCTAAAGACCTGTGAGCTAGCTCACACTAACTCAGCTTAGAGGGAACACTGCACCCTACCCACCCACCCTCCATCTCCTGCTGTGTGCCAGGGCGGACCTTGCTGCCCTACCGAACCGTCTTCTGAATCTGGCCTTCCTGCAACTAAAGGCCGTTAGATCTAGGTCAGCCATCTCTGCAAACGTGCGCTCAATCATGCGTTGTTTTTTAAATGGTTTCTCAGAAATAGTTTCCGTTTCCCAAATCAAGTTCAAAACATACCGGTGAAATAATCAGCGGGGCCACAACTCCAGAAGCCCTCCCACCGTTGCCCCCCAAGCACCACGAATACAGAGCATCCCTTGCCCCAGGCAGAGTGTTCCATCTATACCTCGTGGCGGATAGCCATTGATGGACCTCTGCTCAGTATCAGAACATAAGAGAAGCCATGTTGGGTCAGGCCAGTGGCCCATCCAGTCCAACACTGTGTTTCACACAATGGCCAAAACCCAGGTGCCATCAGGACGTCCACCAGCAGGGCCAGAACTCCAGAAGCCCTCCCACCGTTGCCCCCCAAGCACCACGAATACAGAGCATCCCTTGCCCCAGGCAGAGTGTTCCATCTATACCTTGCGGCTAATAGCCACCAATGGACCCCTGCTCCATACGTTTATCCAAGAGTTGAAGCCCCTCTGTGTGGCTGCCTGGTTTGGAAAGGCATTGCGGGAAGAGGAGTGATGCAAGCCCCACAGCATTCTGGGACAGCTGGCTTGACACCACAATACATCGACCCCTCTCTGTAGTCCTCCGCTTCAACGTCGCTGCCGATTGTGATCCATGTTGGGGCAGCTTGGCATTGCCGGGGCGGCCTCCTGGTGGGGAAGTGGGGTGGCTCAGGGACGCCAAGTCTCACGGCGAAGGAATGCTGAGGTGTTGCCCGCAGAACTGGTTGGTCCAGTTTCCGGCATCCCTGGCTGGGGATCGAGTCGAATGTGCCTGCCGGGAGCTTCCTACTCGGGGAGCTGCTGCTGAGATTCCCGACGTAGAGGGGGAGCCGTGCCTGGCCACGGGGATATTTTCCCATGGAAAGAGGTAGCTTTTCCTGGTTTGGCCTGCCCCGTTTGCGGTGCCGTGCGCTGCAGCTTGGCCGTTGGCCTCGCGGGATGCTTTGAATCGAAGCCTCCGCCTGCCTGTGTGTGAGGTGTGCCCCTTAGGATTCTGGGACTGGCAGTGCCTTAACCTTTTCCCCCCTTTTGCTTCCTCAGCCGGTGCGTATTATCCCGCCCAGGGTGTACAGCAGTTTCCTGCGGCTCAAGTCATGTTGAACCAGCAGCCGCCAATCCCACCAAAGCGAGAACGCAAGACGGTAAGAGGGGGCCGTGGGACGGGCATGGGTGTGTGTGCGGGCATGAGAATTCCAAGTTTCACTCATGCATAACCTTTCTCGTTCTAGATTCAAGCGGGTAGCCTTGTTGGTTTGAAGCAGCTGGGCAAAGTTTGAGTCCAGTGGCCCCTTTAAGGGATCTGAAGAAACGTCTTCCAATATCTGAGGAAGCGTGCTTGCACAGAAAAGCTGATCCCCAGAATTAAACTTTGCTGATTTTAAAGGTTGCCAGTGGACTCAAATGTTGTTCTTTATTTTCCTGAGTTGGCTGGTGGGCCTCTCACCCTGTCTCTTGGTCTTTTCCTAGCAGTGCCCTCTCTGGTTTATGTGAAGGTGGGGGGCGAGGCGGGGGGCGGATAATAAAATAAACTGGATAATAAATTGTGGTCGCTCAGAAGTAGGAGTGGGCATGAACTGGCTGACAAACCAAAGTTTGTCATGAATTTTGGCCGGTTCGTGGTTAGCGAAGCAATGTTTGCGAACTGAAGACCTGCGACGAATTTTCAGGTGCCAGTATGGAACCCTGAAGACTTCTGAGCAGGGACGGGCATGAACCACAAAGACCAAACTGCATCTTTGTGGTTCATGCCCGTCCCTGCTCAGAAGTCTCCAGGGTTCCATACTGGCACCTTACATTCCGGGAACGTTTCTTCCAGTAGAAAAGAGCAAGAGGTCCTGTAGCACCTTAAAGACTAACAAAATAAGTGACGGGTTAGGACCTTTTGTGAGTCACTGCTCACTCCTTCAGATACCTGAGCAGTGACTCACGAAAGCTCATACCCCGCCAGATGTTTTGTTAGTCTTTAAGGTGCTGCTTGAACTCTTGCTCTTTTTTACTGTTACAGGCAGACTAAACACGGCTACGCATCTTGATTTTTCTTCCAGTGCTATTTGTATGTTTCTGCTCCAGGAGAGCCATTTTGGTGTAGTGGCTAAGTGCGCGGACTCTAATGTGGGAGAACCGGGTTTGATTCCCCACTCCACCACTTGCACCTGGCTGGATGACCTTAGGCAAGCCGTAGTTCTGATAAGAGCTGTTCTTGAAAAAGAGCCGTTTCTGTTAAGAGCTCTCTTGGCCCCACCGACCTCACAGGGTGTCTGTTGTGGGAAGGGGAAGGGGTTTGTAAGCCGCTCTGAGACACCTTTGGGTAGTGAAGGGTGGGGTATAAATCCAATCTCTTCTTCTCCTCTCAGAGGTCTCTCAGACCCACCTACCTCACAGGGTGTCTGTTGTGGGGAGGGGAAGGGAAAGGAGTTTGTCAGCCGCTCTGAGACACCTTTGGGTAATGAAAGGTGGGGATAGACATCCAATCTCTTCTTCTACTACTACTTAAAATCAAAAGGGCCTATTTTGTAGGCCCATACAGTATTCTAAAGTCCCAGCAGGAGGGTGTCATTATAAAAGAGGAAAGATGGTTTTTTCTCATGGATGCTCAAAAATAGGGTCAGTGCAAGGAGTGCTTCCTTCTCCCCTCTCAAAATTGTGGTGTTCAGATGCCAGGGAAAGTCTATATCTGAATGGTGATGCATACACGTCGTGTATTACAGGATCCCCAGTTAAATATCTATCTCTCTCTTTTTGCATTTTTGCATTTGTGTGTGTGCGCGCACGCCCATAAAGTCATGGTGACCTCTGGCAACACCTACTGGGGCACGGAGGTCGTTCGGGGAAGTGGCTTGATAGCCTGCCTCTGGCCTCCCGGCCCCAGTATTCTCTGGAGGTCTCCCATCCAAATACTTGCCAGGGCCGGCCCTGCTTAGCTTCCGAGATCTGACAAGATCAGGCTTGCCTGGGCTATCTAGATCAGGGTCCCAGTTCAGTCTTCAGTCTCTAGCGTAAAGGGTGTTCGACTCTGTATGCAGAAGCCGTGGAAATCCCGCCCCTTCGTCCCAGCGCATTGGCTGAGCATACCCCCTTTTCCATCTTTCAAGCACCGTTCCATTCGCTCACACTTCCGGAGCCATCAGTTTCTGCTCGTCTCCCACTTGCTCACTTCTGCTGAATTGATTTTTAATTGCTTTGCGTTGTTTTGGCGACGTGAGCCCAGGCGGGACGGAAATTTTATAAATGCGTAGGAGGTTTGCCGTGGTGGTTGAGCAGGTGTTAAGAAGGCCTGCGTAGGGCCCCTTTTTGTGTCTGTCTCCGTTGTACCAGATCTGCCCAAGAAGGACCCTGGGATTGTTGCAAGCCTGTTAAATGGACACTCTGGTGCTGAATTCTGTTCCTGCAGCCACTCTGCACGTGCAGAGATACCGAACTAGAAATGTAAAATTTCTGGAAATTTTGAAGCTCGGGAAAACCCCCCCCCCTTTTTTTTTTCTGTTTCCCCCCCGGGGGGAAATGGGAATTTTTGGAAAAATTGAAAAAAATGCTACATTAGCACTTCTTTTTTCTTTTCCAGATTGAAAGTCATTCTGTTACTTTAGGAACATAAAATATGACTATGGACATTTTTACTTGGCATGAAATTATCACAACTAGCATATTAAAAATATAAGTGTATCCAAGCAGTTATTACAAACAGAATACCCACCCACTTGCAAAAGCAAAACTGAAACCTTTTTCTTTTCTTGTGACAATAGCACCTCCTAAAGGAAGAAATGCATCTTGTTCTTGCATTGGAGAGTTCAGTTTGTAACCTAGGACTTGCTTGTCCCCAGTGCACAGAAATCAGATCAATCTGATACCATATATATATTTTTTAGAAATGATTTGGAAAACATTTGAACACCTTGTCTTAAAATATTTTATTCATCGTGTTAAAATAAAACATTCCATAATCATTTTTTTCCTCATTTCTTTTTTCTTTTTTTAATTTTTCGGGAAAAAAAACAAAAAAGGCTTCCGGGAAAAAACGGGGGGAAAGGTTTTTCCCCTGAATTTTTCCGTTTTTTTCCCCAGGCCTTCACATCTCTAGGAGGGACTGGGGCTCAGTGAAAGAGACTCTGCTTCGCATGCAGGAGGTTCCAAGTTCCTTCCCCGGCGTCTCCACTTAACGAATGGGGTAACAGGTGATGTGAGAGACCTCTGCCTGAGACCACCCTAGAGAGCTGCTGCCGGTCTGAGTAGACTACTGACCTTGATGGACCAATCAGGATAAAGCCGTTTCTTTTAGGGAAGGGTCACGGCTCAGTGGAAGAGCCTCTGGATTGGATGCAGAAGGTCCCAGGTTCAGTCCCCGGCATCTCCAGTTAAAAAGACCAGGTCATGGGTGATGTGGAAGACCTCTGCCTGAGACCCTGGAGAACCTCTGCCAGTCTGAGTAGACAGTAAGGACCTTGATGACCAAAGGTCTGATTCAGTATGACACCTTCATAATGTGTGTCCGTGTTCGCTTCATGTGTTCTAGGGCGGGGCTTGGTCATTGTATTGAAAATACATTCCAGGGTTGAGCTGGCACAGAAGAGTTCCTGACTTGGTGCTCTTGACCCAACCAAGATGTACATGGGAGCAGTGTTCCCTCTAAGCCAGTGATGGCGAACCTTTTAGAGACCGAGTGCCCAAACTGCGACCTAAAACCCACTTATTTATCGCAACGTGCCAACACGGCAATTTAACCTGAATATGGAGGTTTTACTTTAGAAAAAACAACTCCTACATTAACTTCAGATGATCCAAACAAAGTAAGGGAAGCAATCCCAAATGCTTTCTTTTACTTAAAATTATTTGGCAGAGCATTTGACACTTTAATGATGGTCTGGGCTTGGCTGGGGCGATGGCACGCGTGCCCACAGAGAGGGCTCTGAGTGCCACCTCTGGCACCCGTGCCATAGGTTCGCCACCACTGCTCTAAGCTGAGTTAGTGTGAACTAGCTCACAGTTCTTTAGCCTCTGGCTCACACATTTTTGCCTTGGCTCAGGAAGGGAGGGCTCCAGAGCAAACTAATTCATGCAGCAGCCAAATCGTTCGCTCACAACTTTAATGCCAGTAGCTCACAAAGTAGGATTTTTGCTCACAAGACTCCACAGCTTAGAGGGAGCATTGCATTGGAGCAACAACAAAAAAATTCAACTTGAATACATAAACTGAATCTACTTTATACTGAATCTGACCCTTTGTCAATCAAAGAGTCTTGTCTACTCAGACTGGCAGCAGCTCCCCAGGGTCTGTGGCGGAGGACTTTTACGTCACCTCCTGCCTGGTCCTTTCAACTGGAGGTGCTGGGGGTTGAACCTGGGACCTTCTGCATGCCAAGCAGATGCACTTCCACTGAAGAGATTGGATTTATATCCCGCCCTTCACTCGGAGTCTCAGAGCGGCTTACAATCCCATTTCCCTTCCCCTCCCCACAACAGACACCCTGTGAGGTCGGTGGCGCTGAGAGAGCTCTTTCGAGGACTGCGCTTGAGAGAACAGCTCTGGGGGAACTTGTGACTGGCCCAAGGTCACCCAGCTGGCTGCGTGTGGAAGAGTGGGGAATCAAACACGGTTCTCCCAGATTAGAGTCCGCCGCTCTTGACCACTGCACCAAACTGAGCCATGACCCCCTCCCTAGAAAGATGTACAGAAAGCTGCCTTATACTGGACCAGACAATCGCGCCATCAAAGTCTGTATTGCCTACTGGGGCTGGCAGTAGCTCGTCAGGGTCTCAGGCGGAGGTCTTTCACATCACCCACAACCTGGTCCATTTAATGGACGGTGCCAGGGATTGAATTTGGGATTTTTGGCATGCCAAGCAGATGCTCTGCTGCTGAGCCACGTCCCTTCCCGGCACCTTCCCTTCCCCCTAGTTAGAGGTCCGGCTCTTTCTTTGAAACCATTGTCCCCCATAAGGCCAACCGATCTCCTCTGGGATTACCTGTAGGCAGCCACACCCGAGTTCCTTGAACAGGCCTGTTGACCTCTTAAAGGAGTCTTTGTGATTCTCCCAGTACTGTGGTGAGCGTAAAGCGCTGATTGCCTGTTCAGTACTGCTTTTCTGCCTCACAGCAGGGAATCTCTGCTGTGGATTCGGCAGGACGGGGAAACGGGCCCACCTC